GAGGTGATGACTAATTTAAAAAATTTCCTAAGCAGGTTGCCAGAAAGCACTTCATTATAACATATTTTGGTTAAAAAATTAAGGACAGAGACATAAACCATGGGCTTGAAAGAAAGTGATGAAAGAAGGACTCTGAGTTAGAGCAATATAGGTTTAATGTGTTATTACCAATTTTTGTATGATAATCTAGTAAAAGATAAGATACTAGCATTGTGAAGCAATAATTTCAGCTGATAGGCAGGGGTCATCCTAGATAATAAAAGGGTAATATGCCAATCGACCTAATGGTGGAACAACCAGAACCCCTGCAGCCCCTCGCCCTAGCCAGCCCTGGCCAGGAGCGGGCACCCTCATCCCCATTGGAGCAGGCCAGTTGGACTCTACCAGTGCACGAATTTGTGTGCTGGGCCTCTAGTAAGAACATAAGAGTCTATAGAGCATAGTTAGTCATATGATAGAATTAATACCTCAGACATAAAATTAAAGATGTGAATGACTAAACAAATGAAGATATGTAAACATTTTGTGACTCTGTGTCTCCTTCTAGCTGTTCTTTAACCTTCTCTAAAGTTCTTACTGAAAACGTCTTAAAGATAATAATTATTTTGGTGACCAGCATGTGGTTGATGTCAGTATCTGATCATAAACAGGCACAAAAATTACCATTTTAAGAATCCTATATAATAAAAGGGCAATATGCAAAATGATCCTAAGAGCAGAGATATCAGAAAGATCTCACTCGACCAGTCACTATGAGGCACACTGACCACCTCTCAGTCCCTCCCCCTGGCTGGCAGGCTCCGATCTCCTGATGGCAAATGGGGAACTGGGGTGGAGGTTGGGGGATGCAGGCATTGCCAGACCAAGGCCCCCATCCTGTCAGTTGCCCCCCACACAGAGGGAAACGCATGGCAATGAGCAGGCAGGAAAAGCTGACCTCTTGTTCCCTTTCCCTGGCTATCAGGCTTTGATTGCCAGATTGTGAACGGGGAACCTGGGGTTAGTGGCAGCAGAGGGCAGGGCCAGCGGCAGGCAGCCTGGGAAGATAGCCCTGATCACAGGCCAGACGTAGGGACTGTACCCATGCACAAATTTCATGTGCCAGGCCTCTAGTAAAAAATAAGAGAGCATGAGAACATAAATTTGCCCTGTGAAAAGAAATCCGCATGAATAATGTACATAAAAATGCAGTGAAAGTTATTAGAATTTAACTGTTATTACAGTTTTTTTAGATCAAATTAAAAATATTTTTAAGAAAACATATTGTATAAACTTATGTTCAACTAGAGGTTGGGGGGAAATGGCAAGCATCAGGCTGCAGTGGTGTTATTTCAGAGCAAATAGAAGAAGTTTTGAGTTGACTAAGAAAAGCATGGAGCTGCTCTCATCCACAGGAGCCTCCCACATACTGTTAGCAGTCTCACTGCACTCTCACCTCCATTGGCCTCTTCTACTCTCACATCTGCCTCGCTCCTATGTCCAGGAAGCCAAGTGTTGCTAAAGAAACATCACAAGCCAAACAGCCTGGAGTCCCAACAAACCAATGACTCTTAAATCTCCAGGTGGCCCAATGTCCTTTTATTTCTCCTTGGTTAACTTTCCTGCCCATCACACTCAAAGACTGTGACTGTCCAAAATCTTCATCTACCTCTCTCTCTCTCAGACCATACTCTCAATCCTCTAACATACTCCAGAGGTAGAAAAACTTGCCTCCACTTCATTGAGAAATTAGAACCACTGCGTATAAACTGCCCCGGCTTCTCTCACCCTTTCCCACCTCAATCTGCTACCCCAGGACCTAGAGAAAAGAAGTATCTTTCCTCAGCTTCCAAGCAACGATCTCACTTGTGTTATCAATGTCTTTCTGCCCCAACCCTGCTCCCTAAAGGCTGTGTTCCATCATTTGTCCTTCTTTCTTCTAGACAGGCAACCCCCACCCTCCTGACCCTTTTTCCCTTCCCAACACTCCTGTCCTAATTTCTTCCCTAGTCTCCGAGTCTCTCTGCAAACTTCTGACCCAGACCACCTTAAAGATTCATCTACACTTGCAACTTTCACTTTCCCACTCTTACTTTTGCTCCTCTTACTTCTCAACTTCCTGTAACACCTGCTCCCGCTATTCCAATAGAATATTTAGTGGGTATAATTTAATTAAAGACACAGATCCTGGATTTTTAAGCAGAACTGTATTTGACTTCTGCCTCCTCCACTTAGAAGCTGGGAGACCTTGAGCACGCTGCTTAATTGCCTGTGCATCAGTTAGGATAATAGTAGTAATCAATTTAATAGGATTCTTATATTAAATTCTATATAATAAAAGCCTAATATGCTAAGTGTCCAGTCAACCAGTAGGTCACTCAACCAATCAAAGCATAATATGCTAATGATGTGCTAAGGCACTCAACCACTCACTATGATGTGCACTGACCACTAGGGGGCAGTCAACCAGTCAACTAGTTGTTATGACATGCTCTGACCATCAGGGGGCAGACACTCCAACCTGTAGGTTAGCTTGCTGCTGGGGTCCAGCCAATCTGGACTGAGTGAGATGGACTGGACATGCCCTGGAGCCCTTCCATGATCTCTCCCTGGCTGGCTAACCTCCTGTGCCCCTCCCAGGCCCCAATCCTGTACCAGGAGGGTCTCTGTGCCCTCTCGTAATCCGGGACCCCTCAGGGGATGTCAGAGAGCCATTTTTGGCCCAATCTGCAGGCCAGGCTGAGGGACCTCACTGGTGCACAAATTCGTGCACTGGGCTTCTGGTGAGATAAAACACTGAACAATGTTTTCATGTGCCCTGTGCTCAACAAATATTAATAATAAATATTATTACTACTACCACTATTAGTAGTAATCATTTTAGTGATTAGTGTCATTATTGTCAGATTTTATTCTGGGTCTAGATAAAAATCCTGAACTACAAAAAATATCCTACTGAACTTATGCAGCCAAGAAAAGCTCTTTGGTAATCTCCTTACACAATGTATCTTATCACTTTGCCTAGATCAATCTTCCTACCTTAAACCAGATCTCTTCTTGGAATCTCCTCTCCAAACTTATTCTGTGTGACTCTAGTCAGTTCAGTTCACACACACACACACACACACCACTGATACACTGATTAGGTAAATTTATTTGTATCATGTGAATCAATGTGAAATATAAAATTAGCTGAGTACAGGAACCTTAACCTATGCTGCCTTCTCAACAAGAAAAGTATCTACACCAATGTTCTGCATTCAGCTGGAGGTGGATAATTACTGATGGCAGCCTGTCCTTCCTATGATCAATCACAGCAAGAACAGAAAGAATATTTTTAGCATCATGTTTGAATCCTACCTAGCAACTTGGAAACTGCAATAACTTGAACCTATGCAGGCAATTAAAAGAAAGTTTTATTATTAGTTGACCAGAAATTGCACCTCTTGGTCATTTATATTCTGTGAGTAATCACTGAGAAGGTTAACGTGGAGCACTCATTCCCTTCCTTCATCTCCTTGCTATTCTCAGTTCCTTTTTGTCACAAGCTGTGTGTGCAATATCCATTTTAATTAGAAAGAGGCAATAACAGACAAAGGTGATTGCAATAGGTATGTTCAGTACAGAACCAAATTGCACAGCAAGATCTCATCCCGGTGATAAAAACAACTTCACTAAGGCATGTAATTTTGTCTAACAATTTGTTTCTTGGAACAAGCTCCTAACGCCTATACCCAGGCCAGCACTACTCGGTACGTCTGACTTCAGTGGAAGCATTAGCGTGGGCTTCACCTGGGAGCCACCTTCTCTTGGACCGGATGACCCTTTCACCACTGGGGTCTTGTGTTGGGTTCTTGCACACTGACTTAATTCCTCTAGGATTCAGCAGTGATTTACTTTACAGGCAAAGAAAATGGGTTCTAGTTCTATCTCTACCTTTAACACTTTTCTTCTCTTGGTCGATCAATATTTCAAAACAAATTTGGATCCTAAAAGTCTGTTAAAATTAAATAACTAGGGGATGAAGAATTCACACACTCACACATGGAAGGCAGGACCATGGTAGGGATGATGATGATGATGATGATGATGACTTCAATGAAATAGCTAATATTGACTAAACATTTGTTTGGCCTAGGCTGTCTGCCAAATATTAAACATATATCATTTGCTTTAGTAATCACAACTGTGGAATATTGGCATTATTACTCTATTTTCCATTTGAAAAAACTTGCCTAGGGTCATATGACAAACAAGATTTAAGGCTGGGATTTCAAGTCTAGTCTGTCAAAAGCCAAGACCCATACAAAATCATGTGTCCTTTTTTAGTGACCTGCTTTTAACCAGTTTGATCAAAATTATGTTTAAGTTTTATTTTATTACCAATGGCTTGCTACAGTAAATCTATGTATTTCTATACTAGAAAATTAAATTCCCTATTTAAAAAATGAGAAAGAATATGCATGGCCAAATAAATATAAAAAAAGCAAATATAAAATTTCAGGTGTTTGACACTAAATAGAATTCCATTCAATTGAAGAAGCAGTAACTAATTAATATAATATATATGGAACTAAGAATTTAAAGATTAAGTTAGCATTGTCCCTCTTCCCCCAAGAAACTAATGATATAGTGGGGAAAATATCATGCAATATTTCAGGTCTTACTTCAAATGTCATATCCTATGAGAGGTCTTCCTATTGATGCAAAAATTCTAAAGTTTATAGATATGTGGAAAACATTTGAGATAATTCTTCAAAATGTTACTAGTGGATATTCTCTGAATGGTAGATCTGAAATGACTAACATTATTCTCTTCATAATTTTCTGTATTAGCTGATTTTTAAAGAATATTTTTAAACAAAATAACATGCTCTAATAAATTCATGTTTATCACTCACATTGATTAAGAAGGATTAGACCCTTGATACTCTTATAATAGCTGTTTTCTGAATTTCCATTTCCATAGCAACAGTGATACTTATGAGTGAATCAAATATAGCTTTAAAAGAGATACATACCTTAGATAGTGGTTGTGTCTCTCTATCAGTCATAAACAGACTTATTATTTCTGAGCAACATTCAATAATCATTTTCTACAAATAAGAAAACAATATAGTAAGGTTGATATTATTGGTAAATATTAGACATTTTAATTATAAACTTTTCATTTCATTTGTATTTTCTTGACTTATCACCTAAGTTCAATTTTCAGGTTGAGACTTAGAGGTATTTGAAAACTACAGGATGGCCACAAATGGTAAGATTTAATTAAAAATAATATATTTTTAGGATTCTTCGCATGCACATTTACTGTTAAAATTCATGTTACAGAATAATGACAAGTAAAATAATCCACATGAAAATAAGACTTTGAAAAATCACTTTTCTTTTCAACAGAGAGTCCTGGAAGAGAGTCCAGACATGGATTTAAGCAGGGAAGAATGGTTGGGAATTGGGAAAGAAATGGAAAGAGCAAATGAATAGGAAGCAAAGGTCAAAATCATATGTTCTCTATTGTTGACGGCCCAACCACACACCCTACTGTATATGTGAATACATCTGACTGATGAGGGGTCTACCCACAGGCAGGGCTGAATCGGTCAGATCCTCCCCATAAGAAAGGACAACAGAAGAGAGCTGTAGGCAGTACTGGCTATGTGAGCTGAGGAGTCCTGTTATGGAGTTGGAGAAGGCAGTCATCGGCCAGATGTTAGATAAATAAGAGGAAGAATCAGAGATGAGTGAGAATTTACCTCCTCCTCACTGTGGCACTGAGCACAGTGATGGCTCCTGACAATCCAGTCCACTTTTTTAAGGTCCACTGTGCACTGTTTCGAGTCCTTAGCAGTGCACAAGCTTACTTACCGGATGCTGCCAAATCTTTCCTCCCCAGCAAGTCTATTTCACTGGAGCTTGTGAAAGAATTTATTTACTGACAATGAAAAGAGTCATAACTATAACATTATCAGAGAAAAACTATGCCTGCCGCACAGTATTGCCAGTATCCATCCCTGAAGGAAGCAACAATTTGCTCTTATGGCAATATTAATATGTACATGTAGTAGCAATTAGGAATTATAAAAAGAATAAAAGTACATGAATTCGTACATTACAACTGACCACTGCTGGTTAAAACCTGAAAATAAAAAAGCAACAAAGCTATCATTTAAAATTAAAGATCAGATAGCGTTTCACAGACAAGAAAAAGATTAAGAATTCATCACCACAAATTAGTATTACATTTCTTTGACTTAGTTGAAATCCTCATCATCTTTCACCTACAATATGGAAAAAGCTTCCTAAATTGTTTTCCATCCTCTGAACTCTTGCTTCCCCCATCCCTCTTCACATGCCAGCAGGATTAATTTAGTAAATATAGTGTGGATCATGAGGTGCCCTTCCAGCTGCTGCCCCATCTTCTCTGACTCCAGCACACACCCTGCCCTGATTTTCCACGACCCTTTCCTGCAGAGCAATGTCCATTCACCACTTACTCGTTCAACCTCTCCTAAATGCATCCTAAGTGCGGTGGAGTGGTAATAGGAAGTGAACAAGACAGAGAGACGTTATGGTCTGGTGGGAGGGGAAGGAGAGACAGACTGCCAGCACTGTGGGAAGTCAGAGGAGAAAGCACATAGTTCCACCATCTGCCAGCCCCATCTCCCACCACATTCACCCTGTCCTCCTGCCACAACAGGTGGTTCACTGTCCCTTGAATATGAGATTCAGTCCCATGACTTCACTCTGTCAGGAATGAGTGCACTCCACAAGTCTCCAACTAAAAGTTTCACGGGCAAGTATTGAAAAGGCACTGTGTTTCACTCACTAAAGATATTGGAGATAAAATTATAAATAAGACCCCTGAGCCAAGGAATATAAATTCAAAAGAGAAGAAGAAACATACAAATAACTGCTGAAACAATTTGGTAAGGGCATAAGGTATTTTGGGACCCAATGGAAAATGGCCTTTTAATTTATAGGAGCTATAAAATGCTGTCTGAACTATTTAAGCAAGTACAAAGTCTAACTTAAACCTCTATCCCTACCTCCTTCCAACTTTCCCTCGCTCCTTTCTCTCCCCCCCCCCCCTCTCTCTCTCTCTCTCTCTCTCTCTCTCTCTCTCTCTCTCTCTCTCTCTCTCTCTCCTCTCTCTCCCCACCCCCCCCACACACTCCAATATGAATGAGATATAAATAAACAATAAATTAGAATAATTGGCATCATCATTGAAGGAAGAATTCCACAACCTTTTTGTATGGTATAGAATTCAGATAATGGGGAAGATAAAATAACTGGAAGCAGTCAGAGAGACTAAGCTGAACTGTATAATAAAGACCTGAGCCAGAGTAGGAAGGAGAGAGGAGATCAAACACTCCACACAGACTGAGTTGGAGGGAAAGTTTTAAGAGTTTGAGCCAAATGAGACAGATGTTGAAGAGTAGCTGTGGATATCAGAGAGAGATTAAGAGCAAGACAGTGGGGAAAATAAGACTTAAGGAGTTTTTCTGTGTATTCCCAAAAATGATTCCCTCTTGGATGTTCTTACAAGAGGCACCACAGAGATTTTGATTGTTTTCTATGGTTTTGAACATCAGATTGATGTTTCCTTAAACACCACACTTTTCTTGCTAAAAGGGGCCACCAGGCAGCTGGCTCATTATGAATGACATCTGGGTACCTAAACCATGCTCCTACAATAATAAGCTCCTCCATGACAGGGACCTAATCGTACTGATTTCTATGTGTCCTTCTCTCACCAAGCCTGGAAAAATTTTGCAAATAATTGTCTAAAAAATAATTTGTTAATTGATGCTAATGTCCAATTTTATTTTGTTCTATATTTTCAGAGTACTTTGCTATTTGGGATAATCTGACAACACGTGAATTCTAATTGCCTTGTTCAATACAGTCATTCTGGACATGTCTGCTGAACTAACCTTGAATGACTTAGTAAACATAGTTTAAGATTGTCATTATCAGTATGCTATCACTCCAAAAGGGAGTTTTTGTTTTAAAACCAGGATGGTTAGCATCTTTGATATGCTTTCAAGTACCTGATGAACTTTGAAGATATCCCTAAAACTGTGAATGATAAGATAAAATAACTCAGTCATTCCAAGCTGGTGTTGTTCATTTGTGAAGAAGGACATACAAGGCTTTCAAGCCAGAAGTGTCTGGAACACCTGCTCTGTAGCCCTCCAGATACATCTTAAATTACAGTCTGTTTTCTGAAGTTTTTGGCTTCTTCCAGACCACAGGGATTTGGGGAGAAAAAAAAAAAAAAAAGCGAAGGGAATGAGAAAGAGAACAAGATTTACTATTCCCTATATCAATAAAAAACACATTTTTTAGACCCTTATATTTAATAACCCACCAAAAATCTATATTGTGATAGATATAAATATATTAGATTATAGAGGCTATGAAATACTGTCCAATTCTCCATCAGAATTGATCTCTTCAAGTGCTCCAGTTAACTTCTAATTAGCTCCCAGTGAAGGTTGTCATGACAACGAACTGGCAGATTTAGTCAGTGGGATTTATCTGATATTACCCTATAGAATTTAGCTGCTCCCCCCTCCCTTACATGCTGGTTAGTATTCTGGGAAAAAAGAAAACTTTGTATGTTCCTTTCATTTCTCAACTTTCAAATGTTATGAACTAATTTGCCAATTCACCTAAACAAATATTAGTTTTCTTCCATTGAATGACATTGTCTTATAAAGAATTTACAGAACTAAAACACATCTAAAAATGCCTCACTTAAAGCTGAAGAAGCTCTAAGTTGGGTAATAAAACAAATTAAAAAATACAGAGGATAACATCAGGATGAAAGGAGTTTGTGCTCCTCAAGGACTGACCCACTCACAAAAACATTTAAGTCAGGTCATGAAAGCAAACTCCAAACCTTGGTTAAGGCAAAATAGGTCCTCTGGTTCTCTCTCTGCCTATATTCAAATGCTCCCTTGCTCCCCCTCCCATTTATTCCTAATTTGTTTATATGTATAGCCAACCTCTTGACTCAGATACTGGGCTCACTGTGGTCAATTTGATATATACATGTGATCCCCAGGGAAATTCTGCTGACTTTCACTCCAACCTAGGGGCTCATCTCTCCATCTCAGAGCAATACTTGAGTGAAAGGATCATTTTTAGGAAGGAGAGAAAAATTAGTTCTAGGAAAGGACTTGAATCCTGTAGCTTTAGGAAGAGCACAACCTAAAACTATTACTTCTCTGGATGCTCACTCTCCTGTCTTAAACAATCTAAGCCAAAGAAAGAAATGGGCACAGGGAAAAATTATCATTTTCCATATATAATCTATAAAGAAATGATTCAAGGATGATTTAAACAAAAAAATATTCTCGACCATGGGTCAGAGACAGCAACCTGCAGAGTTTGGTCTATGACTGAAAGGCTGTGATTGTAAGTGATCTGCAAAGGAAGTGTAGAAATGAAACGAGAGACACATTTCTCTGCAAAACAGACATGAAAGGGCAACCATATGATTTAGGATAAGAATTATATATAAGTGAAACCTCATGAGTTTGAGATGGCTGATCCACTGGGAGATTTATCAGTACATAGTATTTCATTAGTATCATTAAATGCCTGGTAATTCTTGTTGTAATAGTTGATGGCCCTGGAAAGGATGTATAACTAAAAGTCTAAGGCATCATCTATTGTATATAATAAAAGCCTAAGGACCATTACAGTGGAACCACCAGAAAGGCTGGTTGCTATGATGCACACTGACCACCAGGGAGAAGATGCTCAATGCAGGAGCTGTCCCCTGGTGGTCAGCCTGCTCCCGCAGCAGGAGTGCCACTCAGCCAGAAGCCGGGCTAATGGAGGGCAAGGGCAACAGAGGTGGCAGGAGCCTCTCCTGTCTCCGCAGCAGCACTATGGAAAAGCAAGCCAAGCAGTAAGGAGCAGTGAGCAAGCAGGCAGGAAGGAGCAAGGGTCCCAGACTGCAAGAGGGTGCAGGCTGGGCTGAGAGACACTCTAGTTTCTATGATAAGTAGAAGCACAGAGCACAGAAGACTTAAATTCTGGAAAGGTGCATTTGGCAAAGGCTAACTGTTCTTGCCTGATGAATTCTCTTACAGCTAGGCGTATTGCTTTCACTATAATAAAAAATGCACTCACAGTCCTGATAAACTCAGACTGGAAAAATGCCGACAAGTATAGTCTGAAAATCAGGAGAACTGCCAACATTTACACTTTCTCATAAGGAGTGAATGGATGAGGAAAACAAAAAGAGCCGTATACATCCTATTCTTATTTATATATTTATTGTCTAAGGTTTTACATATGTTTCCTTTTTCCCCAATTGACACCCCCCCACAGCCATTCCCACCCTGGGAACGCCCCCACTGCCCCAGTGTCTGTGTCTATTGGTGATGCTAATATGCATACATACAAGTCCTTTGGTTGCTCTCTAACCACCCCCTTCCCTGCCATTTGTCTCTGGATCTATTCTTGTTCATCAAATTATGTTCATCAAATGACACATTATATCCCACATATGGGTGAGATCATGTGATATTTATGTTTCTCCCACTGGCTTATTTCGGTTAGCATAATGCTCTCCAGGTCCATCCATGCTGTTGCAAATGGTAAAAGTTCCTTATTTTTTATAGTGGCATAATATTCCATTGTGTAGATGTACCACAGTTTTTTTAATCCACTCATCTGCTGATGGGCACTTAGGTTGTTTTCAAATCTTAGCTATTATAGATTGTGCTGCTATGAACATAGGGGTGCATATATCCTTTCTGATTGGTGTTTCTGGCTTCTTGGGATATAGTCCTAGAAGTGGAATTACTGGGTCAAATGAGAGTTCCATTTTTAACTTTTTGAGGAAACGCCATTCTGTCTTTCATAGTGGCTGCACCAGTCTGTATCTTTAAGAATTAAAAATGTTTTGTAACCAATTGAATATTAATCTAGCAGAAAGTGATTTAAGAAAAATGATATAGCTGACTAAAAGTTAGGGAAGATCCTAAAAGATCTTTCTGAGGAAAATAAACAGAGATGGGACCCAATGGACTGGAATCCAGTCCATAAAGTTAGACAGAAGACTGTTTTTTTTTTTTTCTTCATTGTAAATGTTGTACCGCCATTTGATATTTTTAAATAATTACCACAGTAACTACAGAATATATATATATATATATATATATATATATATATCTCAAGAAATTAGATTAATGTACAAAATGGAAATTTACAGAGCAAGTAATTAGGAAAGAACAGCATTCCCTGCTCCTCTATTTCCATAAGAGGTGAGGAATTTCCACTCCATTCCTGAAGGAAGAGGCTGCTTCTAGCTGTTTTTAGACCCATCACTAATTCTTATCTGACTGGTTTGGGAAAAGCAACAGGGCATGCTAAACTCAGCCCCTTCTGGGTCATGTGAGTTTATATTTTTTGAGTTACCCTGCCTGCAGGACTCCTATCCTCTGCTCCTTGGTGCAGTAAGACTGGCAGGGGCAGAAGGGGAGTGGAGGCAATAATGATGCTGACATTTTGATCTCCATATATCCACTTCCTGTTTAGAGTGCACCAGAACACATCAGTGATCATAAAAACCACTCAAGTGAGAGAAAAACAAGTATTACATGATCTCATGCATATGTGGAATCTAATGAACAAAATAAATTGTTGAGCAAAATAGATCCAGGGGAACAGAGGGAAGGCAAGGGAGGCTGGGAGGGTGGACAGAGATCAACCAAAGAACTTGTATGCATATATGCATAACCTATGGGGCACAGACAATAGAATGGTGGAGGCCTGGGACAGGGGAGAAGGATGAGGTGGGGCCGCGGGGCGGTCATGCTAGAACGGGTCAATGGGGGAAAAGAGGACATATGTAATACTTTCAACAATAAAGATTTTTTAAAGAAAACCACTCAACAGTATAAACTCTGTGATCATATTAATAACACACTGTAAGGATAATATCTAATTTTTTAAATACTCACTGCAGGATTTTTTTAAGTTATTTTAAAGTATGAGGAAGGAAAAGAGCAGGAGAGAGAAGCACTGATGTGAGAGAGAAACACTGATCAGTTGCCTCCTGCAAGTGCCCCGACAGGGAATCAAACTTGCAACCTAGGTATGTGCCCTGACTGGGAGTCGAACCCACAGCGTTTGTCGGTGTACAGAACAATGCTCCATCTAACTGAACCATCGGCTGGGCAGGATAGTATCTTTTTTAATTAGGAAAAATATATGCATTGTAAAAGTCTGAAAGATATATGCTTCTCTGTATTTTCTAGTTTTCCTTCACACATTACTTGGGTAATCAACATGCTCACATAGACTTAGAATGAGAAATGACAAGTTATGTTATAAAGTTGCAGAGCATTGTTTCTTCAGATTCACAGCTATACCTGAATGATATGTCTAGATTGGTTGTGTTTCCATCGACTGAAAGATTCTTATAATAGGTGTGCTTAGAAGAACTTTGAAGGAAACACTACATATGCATCCAAAACTTGGGTCATACCTGG